CTCGAGGGGGGCTCGGCTCCCCTTGCCTCCCCTGCCTCTCCTCCCTCCTCGCCCTCCGCTTTCCTCGCCTACGAGCGTGAAGTGAGAACCTTCCTTGTGTTCGAGTTCGTATTGAATGCGCTCGGAAAGGTCGCCCGTGTCACGCGGGCTGCCCCGCAAAGGATCGTCGTCGCAGGCTTCCCTGCACACAGGACTCCCAATCACCTGCGGTTGGAGCGCCGATTTGAGCTCCTCCCACCACTACGACCCCCACCGCATCATACAGGCAGGACCAAATACGGTGCATAACCAACTGAATCGCACCAGCACGCATATCAGTTGCCGGCTCACCACCATCAGATCACCAACCCCCAACTCCAGCACCGCACCAGGACTTTAAAGACCAGCCCTCCATCTACATAAACAGACCGGGCCAACAGAAGCAGTATCAAGACGACGCAGACTGCAGACTCAAACTGAAGATCACCAACCAGTGCAGTCATGACGTGATCGACAGGCCATAGGAAAGCATATTGCATGTGAATCACGCCCACGCATACGCACACATGTCTCAATGGCTGTACCTCATTCTCGGACTCGAATGTGTACGCCACCTACCCATGGCGGCAGCACTACTAGACAAACCAATTCTCCACCTGAGGAACCAGCAGTACCAGCAGCACGACGAGCCGCTCAACCATCTACAAATCTAACTAACACATGGAGACGTCGGTCCAGGCATCTTTTCAACATGTTCAGCACACCGACATCAAACACGACAAGATGACAGACAACACTATAATTAACACAACTGGAGCACGACAACAACACGACGAACATAACAACAGACAACAACCCAACACGACCGAAGAGACCGCAACCAAGATACCCATCCCACCACTGCTATCGCCCCACCGTCTCCACATACCAATTGTATGACCACCGCCTCATACTTCGACAGCCAAGTTCGGTTGGCTAACGGACATTCCAGCACAACGCCGACCCACCCAAATTCAAGACACAATTGAAACATACTTTCCACTCAGAACATCTCCACCAATTTACCTGATGAAAACGGACAAGCCGGCTCGATTTTCATGCAACCAGCATGGCACCTCAACTACTACAACGGACCAGCGTTGACGGATCACCTCGTAACCATCCAACGACACCAACAACAATACGTCCACTACCTCAAACAAGTGCAAGACAAAGAGCTCCAACAGGTCCGCCGCCGTGCCCTCAGCACGTAGTGGAATGCTCCGAGGCCCATGCAACACTGCAGTCCTGTGGTGTAGAAGGGTTTAACAAATTCTGAAGGGCCGGGGGCCCCGGTTTTTTCTGGGAGCCTCTGGGAGCTACTGGAAGCTCCTCAGCCGGCCTAGGACGACCTCACGAATCCTCGAGTGTCTCAAGAACCGCCCCAGATAGCCAAAGAGGGCCACGAAGCGGTCCCAGACTGCTCCACGACGGCCCGGTGTGGCCCCAACACGACCCGAGAGGCCCCCAAGACGCAGACTGCAGACTCAAACTGAAGATCACCAACCAATGCAGTCATGACGTGACCGACAGGCCATAGGAAAGCATATTGCATGTGAATCACGCCCACGCATACGCACACATGTCTCAATGGCTGTACCTCATTCTCGGACTCGAATGTGTACGCCACCTGCCCATGGCGGCAGCACTACTAGACAAAAACAATTTTCCACGTGAGGAACCAGCAGTACCAGCAGCATGACGAGCCGCTCAACCATCTACACATCCAACTAAACCATGTTCAGCACACCGACATCAAACACGACAAGATGACAGGCAACACTAAATATTAACACAACTGGAGCACTACAACAACACGACGAACATAACAACAGACAACAACCCAACCCGACCGAAGAGACCGCAACCAAGATACTCATCCCACCACTGCCATCGCCCCACCGTCTCCACATACAAATTTTATGACCACCGCCTTATACTTGGACAGCCAAGTTCGGTTGGCTATCCACTCAGAACACCTCCACCAATGTACCTGAAGAAAATGGACAAGCGGGCTCGATTTTCATGCAACCAGCATGGCACCTCAACAACTACAACGGACCAACGTTGACGGATCACCTCGTAACCATCCAACGACACCAACAACAAGACGTCCACTACCTCAAACAAATGCAAGACAAAGAGCTCCAACAGGTCCGCCGCCGTGCCCTCAGCACGTAGTGGAATGCTCCGAGGCCCATGCAACACTGCAGTCCTGTGGTGTAAAAGGGTTTAACAAATTCTGAAGGGCCGGGGGCCCCGGTTTTTTCTGGGAGCCTCTGGGAGCTACTGGAAGCTCCTCAGCCGGCCTAGGACGACCTCACGAATCCTCGAGTGTCTCAAGAACCGCCCCAGATAGCCAAAGAGGGCCACGAAGCGGTCCCAGACTGCTCCACGACGGCCCGGTGTGGCCCCAACACGGCCCGAGAGGCCCCCAAGACGCTCCAAGAGTGTCCGAAGGGACCCTCCAAGAGGGCCCCGAGGGGCAAATACACACACACACACACACACACACACACACACACACACACACACACACACACACACACACACACACACACACACACACACACACACACACACACACACACACACACACACACACACACACACAGACACACAGACACACAGACACACAGACACACAGACACACAGACACACAGACACACAGACACACAGACACACAGACACACAGACACACAGACACACAGACACACAGACACACAGACACACAGACACACAGACACACACACACACACACGCACACACACACACACACACTCACACGCACACGCACACGCACACGCGGAAGGCCCGAAAAGGCCAAAATTATTGATTTGCCACGGGTTTTTGAAGAATTGTGGCATTTGCTTTTTTCCTGCCTTCCGACGGCCCGAGACGGCCCAAGTGCCCACAAAGATCGCCCAAGAGGCCCAAGACACGGCCCCAAGAGGACCCCAAGACGGCCCAAGAGGTCTCCAAGACGCTCAAGATGGCCTCCAAGACGGCCCAAGAGCCCTCCAAGACGTCCTCCAAGAAGGCCCGAAAGAGTCAGAATGGCCTCCAGACGGCCACGATGACCTTCAAGATGCCCACGTGTTCCCCGAAGGCTTTCCAAGCCCTATAGCTTGGCAGGCCTCTGGCCACAACCTTCGGCCACATAGGCGCTTCCAAAAAGGCAGGGGGCGGCGGTGATTCGCCGTAGGCGTCTTCGATCCGCCGCCCCCTGTCGATTCATCGCAGGGGTGCCTGGCGCGCCGAACTATATGGTTTTTGGTTTTGGTTCTTTTTCCCAAAGAACTCCCCCTGGGCCTCCGGCGCGTCCCGCCGGCCACCAGGAAGACCCGGTTGCAAACGGTTTTCCTGCCCCAGACGGCCCCAAGATGGCCCCCAAGACGGCTAAGATGGCCCTAGTATGCATCCAAGACGGCCCAAGATGCACCCAAGACGGCCTAAGATAGCCTGAAGATGGCCCAAGACGGCCCAAGAGGCCCCCAAGAGGCCTCCAAGACGGCCCAAGAGGCCTCCAAGAAGTCCTCCAGGAAGGCCCGAAGAGGCCAAAATCATTTATTTTTTCAGGTTTTTGACGGATTTTGGCATTTGCGCCTTTTCGGCTTTCTGACGGCCCCAGACGGCCCAAGAGGCTCCCAAGAGGCTCCCAAGATCGCCCAAGAGGCCCCCTAAGAGGGCCCCATGACGGCCCAAGTGGCCTCCAAGACGGCCCCAAGAGGGCACCAAGACGGCCCAAGAGGTGTCCAACACGCCCAAGATGGCCTCCAAGACGCCCAAGATGGGCTCCAAGACGGCCCCGAAGCGCCCCAAGAGGGCCCCAAGTCGGCCCAGAAAGGCCCCCAAGACGGCTCCCGACGGCGTCAGACGTGCCAGGAACCCACCAAGATGGCCGAAGTTGGCTCGAAGCTGGCCCAAGACGGCCCAAGAGGCCCCCAAGAGGGCCTCCAGGAAGGCCAGAAGAGGCCAAAAACCTTGATGTTCCTAAGGTATTTGACGGATTTTGACATTTGCTTCTTTTCGGCCTTCCGACGGCCCGAGACGCCCAAGAGCCCCCAAAGGTCGCACAAGAGGCCTCCAAGATGGCCCCAAGAGACCCCCAAGACGGCACAGGAGGCCTCTAAGACGCCCAAGATGGCCTTCAAGACGGCCCTGGAGCATTCCAAGAGGGCCCCGAGTCGGCCCATAGAGGCCCCCCGAAACGGCTTCCGACGGCGTCAGACGGACCAGGAGCCCACCAAGACGGGATTGTGGCATTTGCTTTTTTTTCTGTCTTCCGACGGCCCGAGACGGCCCAAGTGCCCCCAAAGATCGCCCAAGAGGCCCAAGACACGGCCCCAAGAGGACCCCAAGACGGCCCAAGAGGTCTCCAAGACGCTCAAGATGGCCTCCAAGACGGCCCAAGAGCCCTCCAAGACGTTCTCCAAGAAGGCCCGAAAGGGTCAAAATGGCCCCCAAACGGCCAATATGACCTTCAAGATGCCCACGTGTTCCCCGAAGGCTTTCCAAACCGACTCGGGGAACACATGGTCCGATAGCTTGGCAGGTCTGGCCTCAACGTTCGGCCACATAGGCGCTTCCAAAAAAAAGGCAGGGGCCGGCAGTGATTCGCCGTAGGCGTCTTCGATCCGCCGCCCCCTGTTGATTCATCACAGGGGTGCCTGGCGTGCTAGATCCTCTCGGTTTTGGTTTTGGTTCTTTTCCGAAAGAACTCCCCCTGGGCCTCCAGCGCGTCCCGCCGGGGTCCCGGGAAAGTGCTCAATGCGGAAAAATCCTCCAAGATGGCTGAAGATGGCGCCAAGATGGCCACGTTGGCCCAAGATGGCCTCCAAGATGGTCCAAGAGGGCCTTCAAGTTCGCTCAAGATGGTCCAAGACGTCCTCCAAGACGGCCCAAGAGGCCTCCAAGAGGTCCTCCAGGAGGGCCCGAAGATGCCAAAATCATTGATTTTCTATAGGTTTTTGAAGGATTTT